ATTAAACATTTAAAAAAAATCTCCATTCGTTTCTTTATCAAAAATGAAGGTAAGGGGACATCTGTGACTAACGAAATGTAGCTTTACTGTAATTGACAATCTTTGTGTCTTACTAAAGATTCAGAAACCTCCTTGAAGGTTCGTGTATTTGTCTTTTTTTGGGGAATATAGATTACGTCCAGTCAAAATGGTTTACAAACTCGGTGTTGAAAGTACCCAAACATAAACTACACACAACGTCACATGGTGGGTCAGTTAGGCTGGCAATAATTAAACCTATTGAGAACACGCATTCTGGTCATTGATGGCGTTCTGTTTTGGGGACATTTAAAGAAAATAAGAATAACTTTGCTATCAATACATATTTTTTTCATCTCTGTTTTGTTCATCTGAGACTGAAGAAAGTGAGGTACAAGATGCATTGCTAAGAAATATGCAAATTCATTCGTGTTCTGATTTGCGCATGACAGTTCGAAATGTAAAGCAACGATGGCTTTGGTCTGCAGGGGACCGGACATACGTGTCTGCTATGTCCTCATGGGGTGTTCACTCTTTGAGGACGTTCGTTCTGGTTATCTGACAACGATTAAAGACGTGCTGTTTTGGGGCACTAAAATACCTTGGTTATTCAAATTAGTACGCATTTTCGCATTTTCTTAATCTGGATGTTAAAAAAAGACAGACAGCAAAAGGTGTATTGAGGAATATGCACATTTGTGTTTATGATCTCTGTATGATCGTTCGAATGTACCACATCATGGCCTTTGAACTGTTAGCGGACATATAACATGTCCGACAGGGCCTTACAGAGTTAAGCCACTTGCTGCATGTTGAGGAAGAACAAGCAATGTCCTGAGTGGTGTTGTTGTTTTCGAATTTTTTGTCAAACCATTTTAACTAAATTGCGGTATAATGTTTTTTCTTGATTCGTCCTGGGATACATTTTTACTCAGCTAATTTAATGTCCTGACGAGTGAACAAAAATTAGCAGCAATAGAAATTAACTACTTTATGTCAAGTAAGGTGTTGGAATTTTATCAAAAACCGATGCAAAAAAAAAAAGAGTGCATGATTCCTGAACTCATGTGAGAAAAAGAGAGGGCAAACAAACTCCA